AATTTTAAAAGTTGTTCCTGTTCCTGAGAGAAAACATTGTTGTTTTTAAAGACCAGGAATTCCAGGCTTGGGAAGGGCATGGGCATAGGGCCTCACTCTGTGTGGGGGGCCCAGGCAGCCAGGCCTGAGACCTGGGTGCACCATCACCCCCTGCACCCCCACCCCGGCTCCCGGAGAGGGGCACCGGGCAGGAGACACCAGGGGCTGCTGTGACCGATGGTGTGGAGACAACCTTGACGGGGTGCACGGCTCGAGACCGACCGTGAAGGCCACCCCTCCCCAGGCTGCCCTTCAGAGCCATTAAACCCTCAGATTCCAGCCCCAACCGGACGAGCGGCCATGCCTCCTCCTGGACCCCTCTGGGGACCGGAATCTCGTTCCTGGCTGCTCATTGGTCCCCATGAGTGGGAGGGCTCCCTCCTGGGGCTCGTCCTACCCTCTGAGCCCCCCCCCGCCCCCCATTTCCCTGGGGACTTCATCCCTCCTGTTCCAGAGAACATGCCTGGCAGGAAATGGCTTCTGGGCAGCTGGCCTGGCCGGGCGGGCTCCGGACCTGGCGGCCAGCCGTGTGTAAATGACCTCCCTCCCCCGTCCAGTCCTGCCGGTCACACCGGAGCGGAAGTCGCCCGGGCTGAACTCCAAGGCACTTCCTGCCTCTGGAGAGGCTGCTGGAAAGGAGGTGGCCCGCTCATTCATTCAAGCCCTGCCCTGCCCTGCCCTGCTGACCGGCCGCACCCCGGTGACTGCGGCCCGCCCCCCCTTCCCAGGAACGCACACCGCACCCGCGGGTAGAAAATGGAACGGATCAGTGGTTTATTGGGAACGCCACTGGTGCAAAAACAGAATATTAAGACATAAGACGCGATGTGCCGACAAAAGTCATCAAAATAAATACATAGATAGTCCAATAATTTGTCGATGAGCGCCAGCGTGATGGCCGCGTTCCAGCAGCTCTCGCCGGCGCAGCGGAAGTCGATCTCCTTGCGGTCGGTGGTGACGATGGTGAAGTAGACGTACTTGCCGGTGCGCTCCACGCAGTCCACCTTGAGGATGGAGTGGAAGCGCAGCTCCTTGGGGCGCGCGCCCGGGCCGGCGGGGAGCAGGCGCAGGC